TGCACGTTGCCCGGAGCAGAGCGCAGACACTTGGCCTTCCTGCCCCATCCTGAAGGATGCGGCAAGTTCTCACCCCGAGGAGAGCTACTCAGCTCTTTCAAAGTGCTCCCTAAAACACAGCTTGGCCTCGACCAGAAAGCACATAGTGTGATTTACCAGGGAGTCTCTCCTGTTTGCAGGTTTGAGCTGCTAACCAGGTGTCTGGCAGAAGGTTAGGGCAGATGAGTTGGACATAAGTGTTGGCAAGGTCATTCCAGGATGTGGATTGTCAGTGGCTGGGCGTGATCTTAGCTGGCATTTCTACCTAAGACTTGTATGGATTGTGGTTTGTTAAACTTGGGAAATCCTGTGCATTAACTGTTGGCATTTGATTTGTTCCTTTAAATAGGGATCCCAGCTCCAGCTGTCTACTTCGTGGATTATGTCACCAACTCCATATATCTTGAAGATATTGTAGACTCAATTACTGTTCAAGATCATATTTATGCTGTGCAGCGGAGTGGAGGTGATACCAGTAGCCTGCAGAACTTAGCAGAGAAGATGGGAGAGCTGTTGGCAAGAATGCATGACGAAGATATCATCCATGGGGACCTAACAACTGCCAACCTGCTCCTGCGGCCTCCCATGGAGAAGCTGGACTTGGTGTTGATAGACTTTGGACTCAGTTTTATTTCAGCACTTCCAGAGGATAAAGGAGTTGATTTGTATGTTCTGGAAAAAGCTTTCATTAGCACTCATCCAGATGTTGAGACAATGTTCAAAGCTCTGCTAAAGACTTATGCAGCTACATCTAAAAAGTCTGGTCCTGTGATCAAAAAGCTGGATGAGGTACGACTGAGGGGAAGGAAGAGGTCCATGATTGGGTAGAAGAGAGTGGGCTTAAGGATGGGGGAAATAATAAGTTCTGCCTATAGGGTTATTTATATTTCTAGTTGGTTTTATTTCACAGATGACTATTTTGATAACTGTGTCTTCCAATAAATACATTTGACTGAGTGTAAGTGTCACAAAGTAACCAAAGTAATTGTGAGATTGGTGCATTGACAAGAGAGAAACAACTAAAGGTCACTTCTTTCCGAAGTGTTAAGTATTTCTTCTATGAAGTAATTTGCAGTGTCATTCCACTCATCCACTTTGTGTGGTTAGAATCATACAGAGGAGTATTTCTCAGCCTGTAGACCAGGAATTTCCAGGAGGTTCTTAACCTGGGCATACCAGAACATCTACTAAAGGGACTGAGGAAAACAAATGTGCTATTTTTCTCAGAAGGCTTTACAACAAAGTGTTTAAATCCATCATAAATAACTACACATCCTGAAAATTTCCAGGAGAGCTGAATTCTGGGACATGGACAATGCTGAAACACAGCTCTAAATGTAAACCAGGTTTATTTTCTTCCAGTAGCAGTTTTGGGTTTTTTCACTTTCTATTGATAGCACTTCCTTAAGGAGATATAAAAATTGTTAATCAAGAACACTTTTCTGCTCAGAAACTTTCACTTTAAGCAGGAAGTCTGCTATAAATTTCCATTTTTGGGGCTTTATAAGAGGTACTGCTGGTACTGCCAGTGCCTGCCCAGGTAGTCCCTTGGCAGAGGTAGGTAGTAATGCACTTTTTCTTGTAAAGTTTTCTCTATATTACTTCATTTTCTGGGTTACTGTTATCTAAAAGTGTGAATGTAAGATGGCCCAGAGGAAAAACCTTACACACCCCACAGTGGGTGGGCTAGAAGATAATCAGTGCTCTGTGCTATGAGGTGTGTGCTGGGACAGTGTGAAGCTTTATCATTTACTTTGGGTAGTCATACAAAAGAGCCAGTGAACTTCTTGATTCATCATCCTGATCCCGGACAGATCCTCTGTTCTCTTATGCTGTCACCGGTGCTGTCTGAAAATGCTGGTGGAAAAGAGGGAAAATAGAGTGTGCCTCAGGTCTGCACAGCCACAGACATCATCATAGAATCAGCTGGGTTGGAAAAGACCTCTAAGATCAAGTCCAACCCTACCGTGGTCACTAGACCATGGCACTAAGTGCCACATTTAGTCTCATCTTGCAAACCTCCAGGGATGGTGAATCCACCACCTCCCTGGGCAGCACATTCCAATGCCTGATCATGCTCTCCGTAAAAAATACCTTCCTAATATCCAACCTAAACCTCCCCTGGCAGAGCTTTGAGTCTGTGCCCTCTTGTCCTCCTGCTGGTTGCCTGGGAGAGGAGACCAACCCCCACCTGAGTTGGAGAGGGTGTTAAGGTCTCCTCTGAGCCTCCTCCTGGCTAAACACCCCCAGCATCTTCAGCCTCTCCTCATGGGGCTTGTGCTCGAGTCCCTAGACATGTCCCGCACGGACGGATCCTGCACCCGCGGGGGAGAAGGCAGCGGTGAGAGGCTGGG